GGAGGCAGAGGTTGCAGTGAGCCGAGATGGCGCCACTGCACTCCAGCCTGGGCAACAAGAGAGAAACTGCATCTCAAAAAACAATAAAAATAAAAAAAAAGAATCACTTGAACCCGACAGGCAGAGGCTGCAGTGAGCTGAGATCATGCCACTGTACTCCAGCCTGGGCAACAGAATGAGACTTTGTCTCTCAAAAAAAAAAAAAAAAAAGCAGCCAGGCATGGCGGCAAGCACCAGTAGTGCTGGATACTCGGGAGGCTCTGGTTGGAAGATTGCTTAAGCCTGGGAAGTCAAGGCTGCAGTGAGCCATGGTTGCACTATTGCACCTCAGCCTGCGTGACAGAGAGACCCTGTCTCAAAAATAACAATAATCTTGTGACCTTAGGCAAATTACTCTGTGTTGTAATTTCCTCATTTGTAAAATAGGGTAACAGTAGCCATTCCATAAAGGTAATCATAAATGAAGAATTAAATGACTGAATACATGTAAAGAACACTGCCTATCATACAGTAAGTGCTCAACAGATGTGAGCTATTGTCATTATCATTAAGATTATCATGGCTAGGTGCAGTGGCTCACGCCTGTAATCTCAACACTTTGGGAGGCCAAGGTGGGCGGATCACAAGGTCAGGATTTCAAGACCAGCCTGGCCAACATGGTGAAACCCCGTCTCTACTAAAAATACAAAAATTAGCTGGGTATGGTGGTGCGCGCCTGTAGTCCCAGCTACTCGGGAGGCTGAGGCAGGAGAATTGCTTAAACCCGAGAGGCGAAAGTTGTGGTGAGCCAAGATCGCACCACTGCATTCCAGCCTGGGCAGGAGCGAGACTCTGTCTCAAAAAAAAAAAAAAAAAGACTATCATTACAGCTTGGGTAACTCTAATCCAACATGCTTGAGACCAGAAACGTTTCAGATTTTGGATTATTTTGGATTGGGGATGCTCAACCTGTATCCTTTTCTGTGTATCATCCCTAATCTCATAACTATAGCCCACCTCTGTCTCTACTTTCTTCCGTTCTTCCAGATCCAGACGGTCCTGGTCAGCTTTCTGGTCTCGATTGAATTTCTCTAGCTCCTGGGCCAGGGTAGCTGCTCTCTTGCTGGCTTCTTCTTTCAACCGGTGGTATTTCTTCACCTGTATTAGGGACACAGAAGGAGAACAGGGATGACCAAGTCAGCAGATGTCAGCCCAGGGATCTCCTCCCTGCCAACCCCTTCCAGAGCTTACCTGATTCTCCTCCAAGGTCAAATCTCTGCCCTGACTCTGACTCTCTTCTTCCATCCGTTCTTCAAACTCCTGCCGGGCCTTCTCCACTGACAGCATCTCCTTCTCCAGCTCATCCATGTCACCTTTACGCTTCTTATAGTGCTTCTGAGCATTCTGCAGAGACTTCTTGGCTGCTTCCAGCTTCTTGATTTTGTGGGAGGTGTTCTCCTTGGCTTTGATGTACTGAGGCCGCTTCTGGTTTAATTCTGAGTCCTTCTCCCTTTTGCCAGAGGGGTGGGGGAAACCAGTGAGCACTATGGAAGAAGGGAGGGTTCCCAAGCTTTTCACCCAAAGGGGAGCTTGAGCCCCTGAGCCAACCTCAGGGAATTACCTAAAAGAACAAGGGCGTGATGCCCCACAGATCCCGAAAAAAAGGGGCAGTCTGACTACTCCCTGAAAGGTATGACTTTCAGGATCTATGAGCCAGCCACTCCATCAGGCAAAGCTACCAACTCTGCCTCAACCCTGGCCAGGACGCTCATTAACAACTCCCAAGAACATCCTGTATTTACTTAGTTGGCCCCTCAAATTCCTATCCTTTAAACTTCTAGCTTCAGTTTTCCTCTTCTAGGAAGGCCTTCTCAGCCACTCCACTGGCTAGGCCTCACACTGGTTCCTCCTTCTTGGCAAGGCCACCACCCCTTTTGAGTTCTCCCTCATCTGAGCACCTGTCTACCCAGGGCCTGAGTGCTTAAATATTCTATTTGTCTAAACTGCAAGTCAAGAAATGTGTCTGGTTCTTACAAAAGCAAGTCAGGAGAATAACAGAGAAATGAGTATGGGTACTGAACTCCGGGCTCGGAGGAACCCTAATAAACAGCACGGCCTCTTGGTTTCCCGTAAGTCGCAGGCCCAGGTCTGCCTCTTACTTGATCTCCTTCTCAATCTGCTGCTGCTCCCGCATCATTTTGCCCAGCTCCTTCTTCTTCTCCTTCAGCTCATCCTCCACCTTGTCCATACGCTTCTTGTCCTTCTCGATCTCCTTGTTCTTAGAGGCCAGCTCCTTGTTGAGCTTCTCAATTTCCACTTCATTATGGTAAAGCTTAAAGAGCTGCAGCTGTACCTGAGCTCGTACTACCTCATCCTTCAGGCGCTGGTAGCGGTCAGCCTGTGCAAACAGGGGAATGGTGGCAGGGGTGCATCGATAAGGCACTGGCTCCATCCTGGTCCCTCAGAGCCAAGAGGTAGCTTGGCCACCTACCTCTTCTTTCTCCTGCTTTGCTTCCTTGCGTTCAGCCGCAATATTTTTCTTGCGATGGTAATTAAACTGTGTGTCCTCTTCAGCCTTCACCATTTCCTTCTTTCGCTTGTCATACTCCTGTGCCAGCTCCCCAGAACGACTAATCTCTTCAAACAGAGCTGTCCTCTCTTTGGGGTTCTTCATGGCAATAGATTCCACAGCACCCTAGTAAAGGTTGAAACACTCTTCCACTTCAGACCCCAGCCAGCCCAGTTCACCTTACCCATTTCCACTCCTTCATCCAGAAAAAGTTACCAACTTTCTCTCCCACGCCCCTGGTGCCACATTTCACACTGGGCTTTAAGGACAAATTCCTTGCCCTCTGAGGAGCACAGGGAGCCAAAGGGACAAAGACAAGAAAGTGTTACGTGCAGTAACAGAAGCAGCACAGGAAAAGGATAAAACGAAGCTTGGGGGTAGGAGACTGATAGGGATATCTATCTCAGAAGGCTTCCCAAAGATGACATCTGTGCTGAGTTTGGAAGATGGAGGGAAACTAACCAAGAAAATAAAAGAGAAAAGGTGGCCGGGTGCAGTGGCTCACACCTGTAATCCCAGCACTTTGGGAGGTTGAGGCAGGCAGATCACCTGAGATCAGGAGTTCAAGACCAGCCTAGCCAAAAGGGTAAAACCCCCATCTCTACCAAAAATATAAAAATCAGCCAGGCGTGGTGGCGGGCGCCTGTAGTCCCAGCTATTTGGGAGGCTGAGGCAGGAGAATCGCTTGAACCCTGGAGGTGGAGGTTGCAGTGAGCCGAGATCGTGCCACTGCACTCCAGCCTGGGCGACAAGCCAAACTCCGTCTCAAAAAGAAAAAAAAAAAATAAAGAGAAAAAGTTATTCTATGTAGAGGAAAATTAATATGCAAAGACCTGTAGGCCAAAGCAAGCAGGTGAATTTGCAGAACCATAAATGGTTTAAGTAGGCTGGAGTGCCAGGCTGGAGGAGAAGAACATGCAGATGGTATTTGGATTTTGATGATGGTGTTTCCCAAATGACAGGCTTAGGCGTTTGGATCTCATCCTAAGGCAATAGTTCTCAAATTTCAGCCAGCATCATAATAACCTGGATAGCCTGATAAAACACAAATTGCTGTGCCCCACCCCACAGTTTCTTCCAAGTCGGGAAGTCTAGGATAGGGCCTGAGAACGTGCATTTTCTAACATGTTACCAGGTAATGTTGATACTGCTGGTCTGGAGACTACAGTTTAAGAACCACCATTTTAAGGCAATAAGGAATCACTGAAATGCTTTAAGGAAAAAAGGGAGGGGAAACAAAACAAATGTGTGTCCTCATAAGATGAACCTGGCTTAGGGGCCAGACTTAAGTCGGGAAGCTCAGTGAACAAGGTGCTACATTAGTTCAAGGGAGAGATGATAAAGCCTGAGATGGAGCAGGCACAGTGGGGATGGGACATGGTCTGGCAAAAACGGGATAGCCAATAACTGTTAAAAACGCCCACCTGGAAAACGAGGAAGTTACGAGCTTTGATCAGAATGCCCAACTTCTCTAATTCCTCACTGTACTCATGTAGTTGGACCACTTTGTTGTTGATCTTGTACTCAGAGGAACCCCCTACAAGACAATGCATGAGTTGGCAAGGGTCAGGCCCCCTTCCTGTTCCAGTCCACTAGTCTAGCCACCTCCCAGGACCCAAGGAGAGCCTTCTGGCTGGCCTCACCCACCTACAATGACACGGGCAAAGGTACGGTCCTCAGCACCCTCCTCAGAGTAAACCATGCTGACAAAGGCCCGGTTGGCAGCTGGCTTGCCCACAGGAGCTCCATGGATCAGGTCCCGCAGGGTCTTTACCCGCAGGTTGCTGGTTTTTTCACCTAGCACAAAGCTGATGGCATCCATGAGATTTGACTTACCTAAGGGAAGAGGGACAAGGCAGTAGAGGGAAAGTCAGGATGAAGAGGAGAGGAAAAGGAATAAAGATATTGAGACAAACAAGAATGTCCCCTAATCACTCAGTACTCAGACTAATGGGAAGAGAGACTACTCCTCTGTCCCCACAAACACTGAGCACAACCAAAGCTCTGGGTCAAAGGCTTAGGAAAAACAGTCCTCTTGCAATTACTATATAGCAGCCAGAAGCTAGAACCCAGGACAAGCGTAGTGACTCACACCTGTAATCCCAGCACTTTGGGAAGCTGAGACAGGAAGATCGCTTGAGGCCAGGAGTTTGAAACCAGCTTGGACAACAAGGCAAAACCCAGTCTCTACAAAAACTTTAAAAATTAGCTGGGCATGGTGGCATGCGCCTGTAGTCCCAGCTACTTGGCTGAGGAGGGAAGATCACTTGAGCTCAGGAGTTCAGGGCTGCAGTGAGCTATGATGATACCACTGCACTCCAGCCTGGGTGACACAGCAAGACTCTCTTTAAAAAAAAAAAGTGAAAAAAAAAAAGAGGAAAGAATAATTTAAAAAAAAGAAGCTAGAACCCAATCTAAAGAAATGGTATATTCACAGAATGGACAGTTCTACAACCTTTAATGACATGGACAAAAGCCTACAATAGGTGAAACAAACAAGACACAAAACTCAATGATGTTAAAATAATATAAAGTGGGCCAGGCACAGTGGCTCATGCCTGTAATCCCAGCACTTTGGGAGGCCGAGGTGGGTGGATCACCTGAGGTCAGGAGTTTGAGACCAGCCTGGCCAACATGGTGAAACCCCGTCTCTACTAAAAATACAAAAATTAGCCAGGCATGGTTGTGTGCCTGTAATCCCAGCTACTCAGGAGGCTGAGGCACGAGAATTGCTTAAACCCAGGAGATGGAGGTTACAGTGAGCCGAGATGGCACCACCGCACTCCAACCTGGACGACAGAGAGAGACTCTGTCTCAAAAAAAAAAAAAGAAAAGAAAAGTTTAGTCGGGCTGGTGCATAAGGAGGAACAGTTTAGTCTCTATAATTTCTATCTCAAGACTGTCCCTAAACAACTTATATATGACTTTGAACTGAAGATCTGATTTCCAACACCTTTCTACTCAGCCATAAAAATAGCAGCCCAAGTCCTTCCATGGAGACGGTATAAGACTATGATTAGGTTGGGCATGGCGTCTCACGCCTGTAATCCCAGCACTTTGGGAAGCAGACGTGGGTGGATCACTTGACCTCAGGAGTCTGAGACCAGCCTGGACAACATGGCAAAATCCCATCTCTACAAAAAATACAAAAATTAGCTGGGCATGGTGGCACACTCCAGGTGTCCTGGCTACTGGGGAGGCTGAGATGGGAGGGTTGCTTGAGCCCAGAAAGTTGAGGCTGCAGTGAGCCATGACTGTGCCACTGTATGCCAGCCTTAGTGACAGAGCAAGACCTTGACTCCGCGGGGAAGAAAAAAAAAAGAAGGCCAGGAGTGGTGGCTCACACCTGTAATTGCAGCACTTTGGGAGGCCCAGGTGGGCAGATCACAGGGTCAGGAGTTTGAGACCAGCCTGACCAACGTGGTGAAACCCCATCTCTACTAACAATACAAAAATTG